TCACATATAAAATGTAAAATATTTTATTTTATCATTATTTTAATTCTATCATTATTTTAATTCTAAAAATATCATGTGACAAACATTACATTTATAATGTAATGTTCGATAAAAGCAATCACTACGCTTTAAGAGCAATTGTTACCAAACAGTGACAATCTTTTTCTATATTCTTCTATAGATATTTAATTATACGTTATTTTTATAAAGAAAAGAAAAATGAAATAAAAATTAAAACATTATATAACCAGGGTGTTCAACAAATATTCTCGAATATTCTTGAATCTTGGAATTATTTGGAATTTAAGTTATTTCGGAAAACTCCTGAAAAATTCCAAATCAATCTTTGAATTTCAAGATTGACCTGGGATTTTTGTCATTCTTTTATTTCAAAAAAATCAGATCGTGAAAAAGATAAGACATATTTCTGCGCATGCGCAAAACTATCAATAATGATTTTACGATAATTTTAGATAAAGTTTTGAAAACAAATGACATTGAAAATCAGATTAATAATTTAAGGAAACAAAAATAAATTAATAATTTTATAAATTGATGTTTGTGATAAAAAGAAAAATTATGTTCGAATATAAACTATTAAAGATGCATTAAAGAAAATTACTAGTAGAAAACTTGAATTTAATGCATAAATCTATAATTATAAAATAGAATATAATAAAGAAATTATTATATTTGCGTTAAATTATGTTCGTTTAATATTTATAAAGCATTAAATGATACTCTAAATTTGTTTGCGTTGTTTTAATTAATTCATCATATTGGATCGTAACTTGAATATAAAATATATAATATTGCGCGAATTAAGAAAAATTAATTAACTAGTGAAAATTAATCGACCTGGAAAATTTTGATTTTTACCTGGAATATTCTGGAACTGTTCTTGAATTGATTAATCAGATATCGCTAGATACTCTGATAACCGATACGCAATAGTGAGAATATAAAATAATGAATATCTAATACTATTCAATGTTGAGAAAAAAATTACATAGCCACAATTATATCAATCACGTATATTTACACATACACATATATATTTTAATGCATTCATTTAAGATATTACAAGTGAGTTGCAAGAGTTGCACAACGTCGACTGTTATCTTTTCACTATTTTCGAAAATATGTTCGTACTTGTTTATTGGTTTCCAGATATCGCAGTGATAACGGAGATTTATTGCGATGACCACATCTCACGGCAATGAAACTTGGATTGAGCTTATATTACCCAAATGAACGGATTTTAATCGAGTATTATCGTATATGCACTTATGATATCGTTCTTTGAATGAGGAGAGTGGGATAAGAGACTAAGTGGAACTTATTTGATCATAACAACGACTTATGCAACGTTGCAGTTTTGTGAGGTGTTGCCATATCTCACAATATAAGAGAGAATAAACTTAAGGCCATAGCACACAAAAAACTTAAACAGTAAGGAAATCAACATGTTGGATTCTACATGTATGAACTCTACCATGACTGGTCAATTCGCTTTTATTGCTTAAGTTTTTTTGTGTGCTATGATCCTAAATCGACCAATTAATCCATTGAAATTGTTCAATTGCACCTATCGTCAAATAAAATGCTTTTGGTCAATTTTAATGGACTAATCGATTAATTTAGTTTATTAAAGTGATCCTAAATTAAATTTATCTTTAGATGCTCAGTAGCCAATGAAATAATTTATAGAGTATCTGAAGGTGAAATTTAAAAAAGCCTTAAATATAAGGCCTGACTATGAATACTGGCGGAAGTCTCTGATTTTTATTCCTGAATTGATGCATACTGTACAATAAGTTAAAGTGAAAACAAAATGTATTTCTTTCACTTCAACTTATTACACTATGTGTACCAGTTCACAGAGTGTATGAAAAACAGACCTATTAATTCAACAACTCTGCACGTTGTTATGTAGTACCAGTTACTGATTAAACGGGAATCTGCCGAAGTTCTACTTTATCGATAAATTTACATAAAAATTTGCTTCTCTATTTTCCCCATTTTAGAAATTTACATAGAAATTAACTGTTAACATGCATGTATAAAATGTTGTTTTTCTTGAATCGGATCTGTATAGTGTGTTTTTATTACTCCATGTTTTGTTTTAATAGTACTCTTTCGTGTTGCTATCAACATAATAATGTAATATTTATAATAGTAACAATATAAGACGATGATATGATAATATATATGACGAAAATGTATATAATTATTAGAATATAAAGATTATGTGTTTCTAACAACACTCTGATTAAATAAAAACGCTTATTTAGAAGTTTAGTTAGAGAACGAAAAAAGGCAAGTCGTATTTCTCCTCATTTTATTTGTAATTCGATTATTTTTAATTCTGTGAATAACTTCAAGTAGTGTTAGAATGCAATGCAGATTATTCACATAATTTAGGAATTCTATAATCATTTTTCTCGTATTTTCGACGTTTTATATATATATATATATATATATAGATAGATATTTAACATTTTGAAAAGTCTATTTACCCGAGATTTACAAACATGATTCTCTATTCTGTTATAAGATTTGATCTTCGTAGCAACAAACATTTTGCGTTTTATATTCTTTTCTCTCCAACGTTTTAATCATATATCTTATTTCAAGCGCTGAAAGTATGATGTAGCGCGATTGCGAGGAACAGATTTATAATCTATTTTTTGTCCGTATTTTTTCATACTTTACTTTTATAAACTCGATACATAAAAATATATCATTCTATTGCTAGGAAAAGTGATTATTCAATATACTTTTTTTCTTTTAATAATGATCTGTAACAAAAAATATTTTCTTGATAATAATCTTAAAATGTACTTACAACTTTTAGAAAAACTCATTGTTATGTATTTAAAATAAATTTTTTTATAAATTTATTCTATAAATTTTATCATTATATATTCAATATTTTTCAAAAAAATCGAATTTGTTTTAATTTAATAATCTTGATCGAAATATTAAATTTATTAGGAATAAGATAAATTTATTAGAAATAATCAGAATATATTCAGAATAAATTTGATGTAATGATGGAGTTGCAGATATATGAACTTTTGAAACAGTTAAAATAAATATAAATTATTATTTGTATACAGTATATATTTTCCTATGTGTTAACGTATTTAATATACAATTTACGTTACATGTATTATAAAATCTCAGAAATAAATGCGCGCATTTATTGATAGAAGTAAGGAATGAATATAGCCCTACGTAATTCCAAAATCGCGTTCCTCGCCAACTTCAGGATTAAAGACTCGGAGGGGACGCCGTCGACTTCAGTTGTTTCGTTGTCGCGCGCGCGTTCTACGCGTTCGTTTTTTCCTTTTTCGTTTTGTTGTCGCGCGAAGACCCCGTAATTTCGGAGCGAACCGTTTTCTGGGTTATATACCGGACGTCTCGGCGCGATTATGTAATAAATAGGGGCCCGGTCGGTCGAGGCCCTCGGGGCCATCGAGAAGTGAGAACTTGCAGCCAAGGTAGAGGCCACTGGTCAGTGCACTCGTTCCTCTCGCGCGATCAGCATCGCGGTCGGCTGTCTTGCGGAAATTCTGCAAAGAAATCCTCATTCCTACAGCCTACACTGCTGCTTCTGTCTATGTAAGTAACACTTTTTTTCTTTTTTTTACGACTTTACATTTAGCCGCACGATGTATACTCGATGATAAAGGATAGAAGATACTTGCGGAAAAAATATGGAGGATCGTCATGCGTGATGATTCGTTTCTTCTTCGTGACATAACGGATTGATGGAAAGAGAACATATGAAGACTTTTTATAAAATTCATCGCAGGAGATATTTCTGTGATATACTGATACATCAATAAATTGATAAACATCATTAATTTTGCATGATATATTATTATATGCATGAAATAGCTTTCAATATATTATTGTATTTATGATTATTGTGTTTGCCAGGAAAAAATATCGCTTATTTATTTATACATTTAAATAACATATAACATAAATACATATTTATACATATAAATACTAAAGAATTTAAAATTAAGTACTATCATTGCTAATATACACGCAAGCATATATTTGAAATATTTTTATTTTACATACAGTATTTATATACAATTGTATTTTATATTTTATATTTCAGCGTAGTACATAAAAATATTTTGTATAATATTTTGTATTTCAAATCGAAAGATTGAATATATTCTGTGATTCATACATGATTCATAAAAATTGATTGTCAAGTTTAGAATTTGAAATAGAAAATACTTTTAATCATTTTTTGAAATATTAAAATATTTAATTTTGTTTTAAAGCACAAATACAAAATGTTTTTAAATGCTCTACTGAAATACAAAGTACAAAATACGATTGTGTTACAAATACCAGTTTTCAAATAAAAGTATTTTAAATATATATGTCCAACTGTGTATATACGATATTCATTTTATGCGTGTCTTAAATTATTATGGTGTTTTCCATTAGGAAAACTAGTGTGCAATACTGCGTACTAAATGCAATTGAATGCAAATCATTTCAATGTTAATAAATAATTTAATCCTTTAATTACATATTCTTTGTCACAATAATCTCAAAAGAATTAAATTATTTATTAACACTGAAAATATGTAAATCGATTTGTACTCGATTGTCAGTTTTGCACTAGTTTTCTCTCGTGGAAAACACTATTAGTCATTCCAAATGGGGATTTTCTCCATACGCGAAGCATTGCCATGACGTCATGAGGAGTGCTTTTCCGCTTATCTAAAAAACGCAGGAGCGTTTGCCGAGTCTCGATAGTCCCTTAATCGCGCGAAGAAACAATTCTGGAAGTATAAACGATAATAACGACGAAACTGCCGGCCGGCGCGCAGATGATAATGGAGCCGTCCGAAAAAACGGGTCGACATTCCAAGGTTTCAATTAAAAAAAAAAATGAACGCCGTTAATCCTCACTCTTCGTGTACAGGCGATACATACATACGGTAGATGATTCGAGAAATGCCAGAAACATATTATATAATATCTATACAGCATTGAACAATATTACTTTAATACTGCACACGAAAAGAACAATTTGGCTGTAGAGTTTAAAAAGAAGGATATTAAAAAGGATTTAAAGGATATAAAGGATATTAAAAAGGAAGGAAGATTTTTGCCTAGAAAGGTAAATAAAAAGAATAGCTTTTTTTATGGATTTCGACTTTCTGAATATGATAATGTCAATAAAATTTCGAGATCGATGGGGGAACACTTTGAAAATTGAGCATAAATAATATATTTAAATAAATTTCAATATTCTTGCTTACTTTTCTAGGTGTTTCTCCAAATGCCACGAACTTTTTAATTATTTTATCATATTCAGGAGATCAAAATCTACAAAAAATACTATTTTTTTTACTTGTGCATCTTTTTGAGCAAAATCTGTCCTTTTTTGGAGAATATTAAAAAAGATTCAATTGTTGCTCAAAAGATATAAGTAAAAGAAATAGATTTTTTGTAGATTTAAATATAGTCTATGAAAACTAACACTGAATAGAAATTGTGTGAAAAAATATGTATTAATTAATATATGTATTAATTAATATTAAATTAAACATTTTGATTCTTTGTTAGGGTCATTGTCAGTGTAAATTACCTTATTACTCATAGAGCTGTAATAAAAACGAAGTTTTAAGTAATATATTAAGATGATAATACAGCTCTATGATTTATTTGAATTTTAAGAAGATCTTAAGTACAAAAATCAACTATGAATACCAATCATGAAATTATGCAAAGTCATATATTCACGCTATCACGCTATCTATCGCACTTAAAAATCGCTATCGGTTGACGTACGACGGTATTGACATTTCAAAGATTTAGGACTAAAGGTCTAAGACGACTTTACGTTTCATTTGTTCTGACACGAGGATCGCGTTTCATTATGGAACAGGGATTGAATACAGAATTTTGTTCACCGATTACATCAGCGGCGCGCGTCTTTTCCTTTAAAACTCAACTCTGAAAATCCTTAATTATACCAGTATTGAAGGAGGTCGAATATCGGTATACAACATAAAATTTTCATAATATCGGCATATACATAATTTTTCGATGATACTGATGTTATGTTACCGATTTTTTTATCGAATCAATATTGCAAAATAAGTTAAATTTGTAGTATACTCTCCATATGTACAATCCATATGTATAATCTCAGAAATTAGAAGTATAAGAAAAAGATAAATTAAAATACATAATAAAACTATATATATTATAATTATTATATATA